AGAGAGGATAAAACAATACACTCATTCCAGATGTGCAGGCCAATCCATACCTTTTGAATAAATAACATGAATGGAATGGAAATCTAATGGGCATTTAAAATGTTGCAGTAGTCAATCTCTATCAGTGATCCTGCTAAAGTATTTACATATAGTGGCAAATGGTATATTGCACCAGTGGAATAATGAGAAGACTGGACTATGTTAATGTCTTTGCGATCTATATAATAATAACAATAAGCCTTACATTTGATATAGCAGCTTTCACTCAGGAGAATGTCTCAAAGAGCTTCGCAAGATATCCTGAAAAGTGGAGTGACTGTATATTTTGTGGGCTAAAGTGGCAGCTAATTTGCACACTGCAATGTTTCACAAACATCCATAAAGAGCTTTGAGACATTTTCTTACAATAAAAGGTGCTCAAATAAGTGAACATAGTTGTTGTTGCTGCTGCCCCACATGAAACATGGGAGAAATGTTTAGTGATCATAATTATCTGTCAAAAGCACTGGTAAATCTTTACAGGCATGGATGGAAATGATTTTACTGGTGCTGTAATCGGAGAGTATTTTCGTACTTGTCACTGGTCCAAATGGCCAGATGCACCAAATGTTAAAGAGCAGACATTATGCTCTTTGGCTTACTCAAAGGTGTTTGCTGGGTGAAAATAGAATTGAATAGATAAGGATGGTGGCTTACTTTCCAGAATGTCATGTTTCCCTGAGACTGATGTGACAAAATCATACCCAAGATAAGGGCAGTGTGGAATTTACCTTATCTCAGTACAAAGATAAAATGGGAAATAAGGGATCAAACATCAAAAACTAGATCGGATTAATATCCTCTAGAGAGTGAGATGAACCTTTTCTCTGATGGAGGAACCAAACTGCTTATTTCAAAATAGAAAACAGAAGGCTGGCATCTTGACTTTGCAAGTGTGCTTCTGTCCCTATCCTCCCATTGACCTTACATAGAAAGAAGCTCTGCTTCTGTGTTGCCACCTTACTGCATATAATTAAAGTTGGCAATGAGGGCTGATAGAGGGAAAAAGGGAATTGCGGAAATGCAACACAAATACAAATGCAACACAATTTACCTCTTGGTAATTGTACCCTGCATGTTAAGTGACAAAGTATAATAATAATAATAATAATCCTTGCATTTGATATAGCGCTTTTCACGTCGGGAGGACGTCCCAAAGCGCTTCACAGAACACACTGTAAAGTGAATTGACTGTATAATTGTGGGCGAATGCGGCAGCCAATTGCGCACAGCAATGTCCCACAAACAGTTGTAGATCGAAAATGACCAATTTATTATTGTTTTTGGTTTTGGAGGGATTATTATTATTAAAGTATAAAGAACTATCTGGAACTAGAAGGTTAGTTTCGAAACAGACGAAGTGTGCTAATATCTGAATGGACTAATGTTATTGTCATACGTATAATGATATACATGTTCATAACTTGGAAGCGTTGATCAGAAAGCATGTCAATATTATACTGATAGATAAACCAAAAACAAAGTACGGGCCAGCCTTTTTAGATTTCCACTGTTGATCCCCTTCTAAAGTAATAGTGCCAGGAAGCAATGAGATCTGATTGCAATAGCTTCCAATGTTCATGATGGACTGGTTGTCATTGCACTTTCAGTGTAAAAATGAACATTGAAATTGCATTCATCTGTGCTTCCGTGAATTTGTAATGATAATTGTAGCCCATAAATGTTCTGGGCCCAATAACAGTTTTAATTTTGTTTTGTTTTTATTGCTTATTAAACTTGCTACCCGTTGCTAAGGTGCAGCTTATGAACCAAATCTTTAAACACAATCTGTGACTCTATTCATTTGTGGGTTCTTTTCCGTTAAATGCTCTTCTTTAACTGCTCTGGGAGCATGAGAGTAGTTAAAAGATAGAAAAGATCCTGTTTTGTGTCTTGTTTCAGAGCCCGATGTAGATTTAATCTGGACGTGAAATTGTTCCAGTTTGATGGTATTTTAGAGGCGAATGACCCAACCCTAAGCAGCTAAATAGTATTTGTGTTCCATATGCCATATAGTTACTAAATGAGAATGATAATCACAAACATGCCACAGATTGAGCTCGAGTGAGCCAAGAAGCTGAGTGACATTGCAATAATGAATGATAGCACCAGATTCAGTGTCAATCTTCACAATCTGTGCAGTATTATAGTTTACAAGGGAACTATACAGAGGCATATCTCCAATGCTTATTTTTACATTTTGGCTGAAAATACTGCATTTCCTTTTAATTATTATGCTTGCCTGCGTTTTTCTGACTAGTGCCCGTATCTTATAGCAATATGTTCCTTCGACATTCTTGTCAGTTGAGAGTTTTTGCACTGGTTTTTGGCTTGTATTCTGTTTCCTCGGACACCACTGATGGAAGCAAGGTTTCAACATTGCCATTGTTCCTGGAATAGAGCCTAAATAGATATCATGGTTATAACTTATTTCTGTAATTTTATTTTACTCTGAATTCCGCAACATTCAGTTCAGTTTTTGATTCTACTTCACAATGATGGAGATAAGAGTTAAAAACTTTTGCCTGGTTTATTTCATAATCTTCCTCGCACCTATGTTGAATCATTACTTTTGCATGAGTTAACATTAGACAAAGGAAACACTGGCCAAAGGAAAAGATGAGGAGAAGGTTTTAGCCTCTTGGCATGTTGTCAATGGTTTGACAAGCGCTGCTCACTTTGGCTAGTCCATTGCAAAGACCACCTTCAAGTTTCACAATGATCAGGATCCGTACAGATTTTAGTTTTATTATGCTCTGGGAATACAAAGATTTGGTTGTTTGCAGAGCAGTTTAACTACGAGTTTATATCCTTCAAGGCTTTGCTCCAAAATAAACATGTTCACTCAAGAATGTGTGTAACAGATAGAGAAGATGAATTCCTGCTGATATTATCAGTGCCAAGAACCACTGCAAGATTTTGTAACAGTGAAAGTCCAATTATTAAGTTCGGATATTTAGGGTGGTGATTTAGCAATTGTATTTGTATCCTAACTACAAAGAAATTTTTATCCAACAATTAACCAGTTGAACTACAGTGTTTAAGAGCCTTTTGAACATATGAAAGCTTACATTTCCGTCATATAATGGTTCCTAATCCACGGTGTTTACAATTAATTTACAAGAAAAAAGGTATGGATTTAAAATCCTTTTCAAGTCTCATTTGTTAAATTCATGTAAGCAGGATGGGTAGAAAATCTACTTTAATGCAGAAATGAATAATTAAAGGCTGCAGAATAATTTCTCTGATTTGGATTCAGAAAATTCAGAGACTCTTGATTTAGGGGGAAATGCGATATTATATCATATACCACATTCTACTCTCATATTGTTAGGTTTTGGAGTTCATTAGACAAATGACTAGTGCGTCCGGATCAATAGAATCATTCAATAGGTGAATGGATACAATTCCGAGCAGTAAAAACATCAAGGGGTATTGGAAAAAAGGTGGAAAGTGGGATTAAAAATAAAAAGGTGAATTAAAGAAAAGCAGGTTATAGTGTTAAAAGTACACCATGTGCTGAAGGAACCCCTTCTGTGTGGAGAACGTCTTTTCTATATTCTGTTCCAGTTTATTTCAGTATAAAAATGCTTTGCTAATCCGTGTAAATCTTTTCCTTGTAATGCATAAACTTTAATGGTCAGATGCAGTCCCTTACCTCGAAAAGGCTAATTTAATTTGTTCATACAGATTACCTTACTGACCATCTGTACATCAACTATCATTCCTAATTCCATTATCTTAATACATTTTCAAGGAGAACCATTTGGATTTTGGAATTGGATTCAAATTCTCCACAATGACTTCAATAAATGAGTTATGATGAGTTTTGTTCTTGGTAGATGAGAACATAATGAGCCCATTCAGTGACGCTTTGAAACCCAAATCACAGTCCGTGATTGTCAAGGAAGCTTTGTGACTCAACTTTCTACTTTGATTTATTTTTAAGAAATTATCACTACGCTATCTTGGCCTTTTGCCCTCCATGCCAATTCCCCCCTTACCTTCTGATTTTGCAAACTGTAGTTTCCCAGGTTCGGTGTGTGGGAACATCTGTAGGAGGAAAAGAGTTTTAACATGACAGCACATATCCCGAGTGGACAAGTGGCTTAAATAAGTAGGAGATCTTCCAAGGTGTTAACTGCAGGACAATGTTGGTTGAAGTCCAGCAGTAGGTTATCTGGCTGCTCTCTTGGAATGTTCATGGAAAACCAGCACTAGAGGGAAAAAAAGGCAGGAACATATATGAGTGGGAGTAGGAACAGTACTGCAGATAATGTGCAGCAGACACAAGGGGATAGATACTTTATACTGCAAGTGGTTCCCATTGCACCGCTGTTCTTGTTGAAGACTTTATAGTTTGTATCGCATATTTCATGGAGGTCTCTCCATGTAGTATGTTTTTTATTTCCATAAATGAATTATGATGAGCCTCACGAGTAGTAATATAAATCATACCGCATGGCCCTTTATAAATTATTCGAGCTTTCAACGCATGTTGTGTTTTACATCGGGAAACAAAGAATAGGCTGGGAAAGTCCATTAAACCATCGGATGGCGTCATAACTTCAGTGCAACTTCACAAATGCGAAATGTGATTCTTTTCCTAGCAGCGAGATAACATTTGTCTTATAAATAATATAGGGTGCAAGGAGGGCAGCCACCAACCATGATAAGACTGGTCATCTGGTATCGAATCATTGATGCTGACACTACTTTGGAAGTGTAATTAATTACGCATGGACATGTTAGCTTATTAACATCTGTAGGAGGGAAATAGTTTTTATCACAGATTATTTGCCAATAATGTTGGCTTCATCAAGTAAACACAAACAAATATGCAGATTTGTGCGTGTGTCATACTGGCATCTACATTTTGATATTAATAAGCTAACATGCCTTCTGCCATGTGCCTTGTTCCAGTGTTTCAAAACGATGTTTGCTTTTTTATCTTCCCGCAGCTCACAACTATCTCAGGGAATGAATTTCTCCTCCACTGCGAAAATGACAATATACACGAGTGGTATGAGGCCATCAAACACATGATTGACAAACTGGTACGTATAATGCTTCTAACTAAAATAACTTTGCTTGGTAGGAAATAAGAGGTCTTCACATATTTATCCAATCTGTTGCTAAAGTTACACAATAAACTTCTTCAGATATTTTTATGCCAAAAGGATACTTTCCCAGCTATTTTGTAAACTTCTCAAGCTCTAAGCGGCCCCTTTAGGCCTTGTTTCTCTTGTTTACAGCTCCCCATGGTACTGTTAATTTTCCTTAGCATATTTTCCATGCAATGATTTGGCGCGACGATTTTTAAATTTAAAACAGGCTGAAAATTAGAAAAATAGAATGTAATGTAGATGATGCTCCATGTGCCAGTATATCAGTACAACTTGACGATAATGATAATCCTTCCACTGGTACAGTGCTTATAATTTCTGTAAAGTGTGATGACTGCGTATGTGTAGGCAAATAAAGTGGCTGATTTGCACACCACAACGTCCCACAAATGGCCATGAAATTAATGACCAATTTTATCAGTAGTATTGGAGTAGTAGTGGACTGGATACCAGGAGAAGCTCTCTTCACTGTTCAAATCGTGCTATAAGATTTTTAACACGCACTCAAACAGTGAGTGGGGACCTCTGTTTTAATGTTTCATGTGAAGAGTGACACTTCTGGCATTGCAGCACTCCCCCAGCACTGCATTAAATTGTTATCCTAGAGTCTGAGCTCAAAATGCTAATGTGGAGCCTGAAACCTACAAAGTTCCAATCAGAGGTAAGAGTGCTACCAACTGAGCTAGTCTATATGTGGCTCTAGTTAATCCCATGGGATTAAATTGTTAATCCCATTGACAATTCATTGTGAAAATGCACTAAAATCACCAGTGCAACAAGCATTACCCTCAATACGTAATGGAAATCAGTTTAAATTATAATGCATGAAATACAAAAATAGCCACTGAGTGAAATCCCAGCGCCTTGGGACGTCCTCCAGATGTGAAAGGTGCTACACAAATGTAATTTTGTATTTTGTATTGTTAATTCATTCATATCACAGATTATTTGCCAATGATGTTGGCTTTATCAAGTAAACACAACCAAATATGCAGATCTGTACATGTGTCACACTGGCATCTACGTTATGATATTAATAACCTGGATTTAATGAGCCAATTTCAATCAATTGTGAATATCAAATCCAATTTCAATTGTGAGGTTTGCAAAATGGTTAATTATGAATCTCAAAAATCGCAGTCTTCGCAGTTGCAGACCAGAAAGCAAAATGTCGTCTTTAAATCTAGTCACATATTGAATTGGAAACCCTATCTCCCCCATCACATCAATACGTTTGGATTTGAACCCAAGTGGAAGGGGAATATTAACCCCAATCCCCTAAAACCTTGCTATAAACAGGAAGTTCCTTGTAAAGAGTGCATTTGATTTGATCTCTGCCTTAGTGAGTGTGATCGCCAATACAGGTTGGTTCAGTGTATCATGGTATACACTGTGCCCAAATACCATATGTCTCCAAGTGAACCTTGGAAACCTGTTTTCCTGTGACACATTTATATTTCAGTGTCTCTTTGTTATTCTTTATTTTCATCATTTTCTTCCAGTGCACTGCATACACATTGCATGTACAAGCAGTGAGGTAATACAATTCAAAGGAGTATGAAATAAGCTTTCTGTATCATGTACAGTATTTAAGATGTTGGAGAGAAACATATGAAACATGACTTTACTGCAGTTTCAGATTAATTACACTCTAGAAATGTATTTGAATTTTTTTTTCTGAGTTGTGATACCGATATGTGAAGGTTGAACGTATTTTGGCTCCTGCAGATCACATTTGGACAGTACCGTATGTGACAGAAGATATACTCTAATGTACTCTGACTTGGATCATCTGGTTGTTCTGTCTTAGTTTTATTCTGCAATTCTACCAAACTTCTAAACTTAGCATAGAACACAGAATGCCATTGACGTAAATGAAAAGAACAAATGCAACATCTATTTCGATAAAAAAAATTCTATTTCCTATATGATATATGCTGGTGATTTTATTTTAGCCAGTGTCTGAGAAATGCGTAAACCCTCACCATACTTAAAGGTATCCAAACCCAGACAGAGAGATTATGCTAGCGAGTAATGTAAACCACTGAGTAGTGTAGACTGCATAACTCCTGGGTGCAATGCCCCAGACAACATCTACAGTGATTTATCTTTCATAAACCACCTGCTCACCAAGATATATTCTGTCTTTGCAATACATTTCCACTGAAAAGTACGCATATTTTTAAAACAATTTTCCCTTGTGTGAAAACGGTGAGGAGACTCACGGAGACACACACTATGATGCAATTGGCTGCCACAGTACCTACAAATAATATTAATAATCCTTGCATTTGATATCGCATCTTATCATGACATTGAAATGTCTCAAAGCACTTCACAGACTATACTGTGAATTGTATACTGTAAATAGACTGTGTATTTTGTGGGCAAAACACTGAAACAAAATTACAGTCACTGCACTTTATAGTTTATCCTGTGATGCGCGTTGAGATGCGTGAAAGGCGCAACATCAAATTTAAGGATTATTATTACTATTTATTATTATAACTGTCATTAAGTTTCCTTACTCCACATGCCAAGTTTCCTTACATGCCAAGTTTGCTTACTCCACATGTATTTTGGTAGTAAGTTTACCTGGTAGTAAGTAGGAACTCAGTTGTAGTCGATTGGTGGATCGTTTTTCTGGAGGTAAAATAAATTTAAAAAAATAATTTGGTTACTTAATCCACAACTGTTTGTGGGACACTTTTTCCGCAACATGCTGCTGCATTTCGCCCACACAAATATACAGTCAATTCACTTTACAGTATATTCTGTAAAGTGCTATGAGACATCTCAAAGACATGATAAGGCACTATATCAAATGCAAGGAATATTATTATTAATCAAGCGTGACTATTGTCACATAAACAGCATAATTAAAGGGTCTCTTAATATAACTTGTTGGTTTCCATTTCTGGCTTCATAGGCAAAGCAGGGAGGCGGACAACCAATAGACCGCATCTGTAAGAGCTCCAGCAGTGAGGACCTCTCCAAATGTGCGAGAGAGAACAGTAGCAAGTCAAATCCAAAAGAACAAAAATCTGAGCACAGGAAATCACTAAGTAAGTAACCAAACTTGTAGCAGTGTAATGTATATTGTTGTTATATAATCAGTTTGAAATGAACATGTCATGTTCCTGGGGTGAAGGGGGCAAAATATTGTCCATGGGGAAAAGGAGGCCAGATTTCAAACACAGAGATATCCTGTGGATAAATATTCTGAAGATCTTTCTTCATTAGCTTTGACTATTAAGGGGATCTGTTAATTGTAACTATAATAGTACTCTAAGACCATATCCTTCATGAAGAATGCTATATAAAAGCAAAAGGCAAAATACTGCAGATGCTGGAAATCTGAAATAAAAACAGAACACCCAGCAGGTCAGACAGCAATGTATAGAGAGAGGAAAGCGAGTTAACATTTTGGGTCAATGACTTTTAGTCAAAACTGACAGAAGGTCATCGATCTGAAATGTTAACTCACTTTCCTCTCTGCTTAGATGCTGCCTGATCTGTTATATAAATGCAAGTTAGTGTTTTAAGCACTCCGGTATGCTACCCCACATGAACCGTGCTGTATAAATGCAAGTTGTTGTTAGCTGTGAGGAATTTCCCCTAAGGAAACGGTGTTTTTTGTGGTGGCTAGGTTTGGTGTGGTCAATGAACAAGTTGCCTTTGTGGGTTAAATGGCCTTCCTTTGTTTCACGCTTTTCACATTGAACCCCTCAATGAAGTATCGATTAATCTCCCTTTATTTTTCCTGATTTCTTTTCCATTCTTTTCCCAAACATGCTGCTTGCATGTGATTTCTAAGAGCAATCAGACTTGCGGTGCACATGAAAATACAGGAGTGTCTACCTTTTTCTGCCGCTGTTCATGTTTCTAAAATTTTAATCAAATGTTGACTTTTTTCGGATTCTCTGAGAAATACTGTGACATAAGGTTGCTCACATGAGGGATGGTTCATATGCCAATGTTTAAAACACTGCCATTGCTGTGCCAAGGAATTTTAAAGAACTCAGTGTTAACATTGATCTGAAATAGCATGCCCTTTGAGAGACTTGGAAAGACATTGGCATCTCGTGAACCTGAGCAATCGTTCCTTTCCATTGAATTACACATCATTGAATGTGCAGAGCATGTCGAAGGATTAATAAATTATAAACCTGCAATCTACAAGTACCAGGGTTTCTGCTATATATTTTTTTGCCCTTCAAATTTTTTCCTCCTCTCTTGGAGGTGCTGATTCATACAGGGATACAGCTTCGCAGCTCTGTGCACACTTTAATGCCTTTACCATATGGTCATTCTATATTAATTGGGCATTGATAATGACCGGGAAGGATGTGGCAGTCAAGACCAGTTATATGCTCACCTGATCTCGACACACAGAGATTAAGCTCCTTCTGCCACCCTACCTCACCACAGACGATAGACTTTATGCTCTATTGAGCTCAGTTGAGCTTCACTGCAAGGTGTCTTTACCAGCCAAACTATCACAGGGCAGGGGATTGGCTTTGATCACATTTTACAGATAATTACATTGAAATACACCTATGCATCATACAAATGACTCATTGATGCAGTAACGGGAATGATGCATACGGACCGGGATGTGGGATTCTTTGTTTTTTGCTTAATCCTTTAGTTGGCAGGCTGACTATCTGAGTGTGAGATTTTAAAGAAAAGAAATGAGGAGCAGTTGAGTCACAAAATCAATTCACTTTTTAGTATATTCTGTGAAGCGCTTTGGAACGTCTCGAAGACGTGATAAGGCGCTATATCAAATACAAAGATTATTATTATGAGCGATTCCAGAGATTTCAAATGAAAACCTTCTGCGAGCAGCCCGCTGGTGTAACACTTCAGTGCAACGAGACATGAGATGTTATCATAATAACTGTCGACTGGCCACAGGTGTGAACTCCTCCTCCCTCCAATGTCTTTGCCAACAGTTGGGCTCTCCACCCCCTGTCGTGGCTTTGAGGATTGTTGATGGCAGAGAATAGAGTTTGAGCCCATTTCACAGCTTAACTCAAATTTCGAGACGTCTCAATGACACGATAAGACGCTATATCAAACACGAGGATTATTATTATTAAAATAGGAGAGCACATGTGGCTTCTTCCCACGCTAATTTTCCGCTAGTGTAGACGTCACTACACTTTACAGTAAATCGTGTGAAGTGCTTTGAGACAATCTCCAGATGTGAAAGGCGCTATATCAATTGCAAGGAATGTGATTATTATTATTATTATTATATGCTGATTTGAGGAACTACCATGCAAAGAAGCACTGGGCACAGGGTGCAAAGCTACTGAAGGAAAAAAGAAATTCAGAAAGCTTAGTCACATCAATCTGTAATATTCGTACAAGCTCCGAGCATCAGGCTCCAGAGCAGCAACAGCAAAAGAGCCTTTGAGCAAGTTGCTTCCCGCCCACTGGGACCACAGAGTATACGCCTGTGGAGCAGGGGGTATACAAACAAACAGAAGATTTCAACGTTAAAGAAAGCATAATTAAAGGGAAAATCACATTGCACATCCTCCCCTCTTTTTAACAATTATAAATAGGTTGGGAAGTAGAATGCACGTTAATGAGCACTAAACTAGGAGATTCTTTCCCCAACAATTAAAAGCCAAATGCCTGAAAACAACAACAACAACAAAATTACATTTGTATAGTGGGCTGCAGCCTATGGAGGGAGGAGTTGGGAGGCCGACAAGCAAGGAGTTTGCATAGTTAAGCCGCAATGTTATGAACGAGTGCATGAGAGTTTCGGCGGCCTGTGGTGTGAGACAGTGGTGGAGGCGGAGGTGGGGGAAGGCAGAGAGTGTCTTGGCATGGATGTGGGGTAGAAAGGATAGCTGAGGGTCAAACAAGGTGCCATGGTTCTGGTCTGACTTAGTAAGGGTGGGGTGTGCATCCATGGATGGTGATGCTGCCAGTGGCTGAGGTGTGGAGGTGCTGACTGGAGACAATCAGGAGAGCCTCAGTTTTGCTGATGTTCAACTGAAGTCACCTCTCATCCAGGACTTGATGTCTGACAGACATTCTGTCAGGACAGCAGTGGTCCTGGAATCAAGGGTGGAAGCAGAAAGGTACAGTTGGGTGTCATCTACATACTTGTAGAATTTGATCCCATGTCTGCAGATGATGACACCAAAAGGGAGTATATAGATATTGAAGAGGAGGGGACCAAGGACAGAACCCTGAGGAACGCCACACAAGAAGGTGTGGGGGCTAGAGGAGAAACCGTTTGTGGAGATGAATTGGAAGCGGTGTGAGAGATATGATTTGAACTAGTCAAGGACAGAACCGTGAAGGTTGAGGTGAGTGGAGAGGTGGTGGATGAGGATAGAGTGGCCAACGGCGTCAAAGGCAGCAAAGATGTCATAGAGGACGAGGAGGCAGAGGGAGCCCTAGTCGCAGATGAGCAGAATGTCATTTGTCACTTTGACCGCTTTGAAAAGCCAACAGGTGGCCAAAACTGGGGTAACTGTGCAGCTTGTTACCATCTGACCAGCCTTGGCTGCATCACTCAGGACAAGTCTGTGTCTGATTCACTATTATAGACTGAATTCTCAGTTTCATTGTATGTATTTCTTAGTTAGTGCTTCCAAAGGGTTTTGACACCTGTCTATGGGAACAACTTGATTATAATATGTAGAATCATTATCTAGTCTAATGTATCAACATTTCCGTGTGCAGCCCTTAACTCAGTTTAAACATTGCCAAGTAGAAAATAAGAGTATTGTGTTTTGATTATTGTTTTTACAATACTTCAAAGGAATTCAAAAATGTTTATTTTAATCCTGTTATTTTTTTTAAAAAAATTCTTTTCTCAAGTTGCTATAGTGGATTAACTGGAAAGTTAGTTTGATGTCATCTCGGAATATTAGAGACATTTTTAGATTTTTTTTAATGTTACAATTCTGTTGTTTGGGAAATTTGCCACAGAAATCAAACAAAAAAACCCTACAGCTCTCAACTAAGTCCCCCTCATGGTTACGTCAAGATTGAGCACTTGGTTCAATAACGTTAACTTAAGACACTCGTAAAAGAAAGAAAAACCTGTAATTGTCAGCCAGATAGTTAATCCTTAGCCTTGTGTCACTTTTCTATGCATAGATTTTAAAAGGCTTCCTCTGTTACACAAGGGATCAGACTTTACAGACAGGTAGGCTATTCGGTAAATGCTGCCGATTGCAGTTATGTGGTACTGATGTTTGCTTTGAGAAAGGTTTCATCAAAGAAATCCTTTTGCAGCTCAAATCAGAAGTACTCCCTGTGGTGCTCTGTACTGTTCCTGCCCTCTTTGTTGTTGCTTTTTTCTCCCATCAGCTTATATTGAAACCTGGCATTTGAAATTAGACTGATATTTGATGATTAATCCTCTTTTCATCATGCTGAGAAAGCCATGTTTAAATGCTGGAATAATTTGCACATCATTTAATGAATGTTTGCTTTGAAACACTTACCTTGGTCTTTTTATTCTTTCTTCTTTTCCCCTGTAGATTTGTACTGTTTGTTTTTGTTCTGCTGAAAACAGAATTGGCAAACATAGCTGTTGTCTTTGGATCATCACAAGTATTCAAAGGAAATCTGAATACTTGGAAATTCCATGCTGAATTCTGCATTGGTTTGAGTTAATGATCAACTTCTTTTTAAAGTTGAAACATATTGTCAACCTTCCTTTTCGGCCACTTACATCCAACTGTCACCCCATGTTTTGCAGACTTCCAAGCTCAGTCTTGTTCATCTCTCAACTATTACTGTAATTCGAAATGGGTACAAAATCATTCAGAGAAACCACTTGATTGTAATAATGACAGCCATCATCTTTTGTGTCAATATTGCTTACCTCAACAGCCAGCAACTGTTATCAAGTGGCTTTGTCTGTTTACAATGGTCACGTACAGCATTTAGTAGTTAAACAGTAATAGACTTCGTTCAGCATTGTCTCAGGCAATGGGACTTCAGTCGTTTTTCATATGTGCAAGGACCCCAATGCATTATACAAGGCTTCCCTATGCAGCTGTTGCTATGGAGGAAGCATATC